CAGACTCTTTATATGTATCAAGTTCTTCCTCAGTGCACACCATTTGTGCGTTTATCATCTCTTAATTGGCCTTTTTCTTTCTCCCATGATTTTGAACGGAAATGAAATTTTATAAGATAAAGTTCAACGGCATCCAAGTGGATGCAGCCACTGCTTTACATCTTTATTGTTTAACATTCAGGAACAGAGGGTTTCTAACATGTTTCATAACTCACGCAGCGATATTATATACCTTCAGCAAGAGAACTTTCAAGGTTGGTTGGGGTATGCAAAGCTCCAGTTATCCAACATTTTTCTGAAACAATTTCAGGAGCAGCAACTATCAGGAGCTTCGATCAACAATCAAGATTCCAAGAAACAAATATGATAGTAACAGATGCATATTCTCGGCCCAAATTTCATGCTGCTGCTGCAATGGAATGGCTTTGCTTCCGCCTTGATATGTTCTCTTCTATTACGTTTGCTTTCTCTTTGGTTTTCTTAGTCTCTTTCCCAAAGGGAATTGATCCTGGTATGTAGTTGATTTCTTGTATATCGTTTTTTCCCCCTTCCTTCCGAGAATTGACAATTAATTGCTAAACCTGAAATAAACCTTCTCCCTTTTCCTTTCTTTTTCTAAAGCCATTGCGGGCTTAGCAGTGACATATGGACTCAACCTGAACATGTTACAAGCTTGGGTAATATGGAATTTATGCAATTGTGAGAACAAAATCATATCAGTAGAGAGAATTCTTCAGTACATGTCCATTCCTAGTGAGCCTCCTCTCATAATAGAAGCAAGCAGGCCAAACCGTTCTTGGCCATCACATGGTGAAGTTGAAATTAATAATCTGCAGGTAATTTTAGCTGCTTTTCTCCAATGATTTCTTCAATTGCTATGTGCTAATTGTTACTAATGATTGAGGTGTTATGCAGGTCCGGTATGCCCCACATATGCCACTTGTTCTGCGTGGTCTCACTTGCACTTTCCCAGGAGGTATGAAAACTGGTATTGTAGGGAGGACAGGCAGTGGCAAATCTACTCTCATACAGACTCTTTTCCGTATTGTTGAACCTGCTGCTGGTCGCATTATGATTGATGATATTGATATCTCATTGATTGGACTGCATGACTTGAGGTCAAGACTAAGCATTATTCCTCAGGATCCAACCATGTTTGAAGGGACTGTACGAAGCAATCTGGACCCCCTTGAAGAGTACACGGATGAACAGATTTGGGAGGTAAACATAATTATTTACACATGTATGCATATGTGTGTTCTTAGAATCGACATGCACTGCTTTTAGAAATGGTAATTGAAGGATGCCACATGCTCACTTGGGTTCTTAATGGTTCTAGGCTCTGGATAAGTGCCAACTTGGAGATGAAGTTAGAAAGAAGGAAAGGAAGTTAGACTGCACAGGTTTGTATTGCTCACTAGTCACTGCTGTTCAATCTTTGTGCATGTCTTCTTAAAGTTGAAAATGACATTTACTTACATTTGAAATGGTCATGTGGTGCTGCAGTGATCGAGAATGGAGAGAACTGGAGTATGGGTCAGAGGCAGCTAGTATGTCTTGGGCGTGTGCTACTGAAAAAAAGTAAGGTGTTGGTCCTTGACGAAGCTACTGCCTCAGTTGACACCTCTACCGATAATCTAATTCAGCAAACTTTAAGGCAGCACTTCTCCGATTGTACTGTTATAACCATCGCACATCGGATAACTTCTGTTCTTGATAGTGACATGGTTTTGCTTTTGAGTAATGGTGAGTAAGGAAACATGATGTAACAGCACGTAGAAGTTCTGGTGATGGTAAAGTTTCTAAAGCATTTGCTATCATGTTGCAGGGCTCATTGAGGAATATGATTCTCCAGCAAGATTGTTAGAGAACAAATCTTCGTCATTTGCACAACTTGTTGCAGAGTACAGAGTCAGGTCAGATACCGGTTTTGAGAAATTTAACTGAACTAAATGATATGGCTGCTGCTGAAATGAATTATCATGTCTTTATGTTTTCTCGATGACGACGACAACTGAGGCATCATCACTACTGTCTGAATCGTGTCCTATCAGGAACTGTAGTTTTGGTAACCAAGACAGTTATAGTTAGTGTATTTCACGCAAGAATTTTTGCTTATAATGACATATATATATATATATATTTGACGTTGTTGTAGTTTGTGAATTGTGAGCTTTACTCTGCTTACAGCAAAGACATGCATGTATTCTGGCTTAAGTTATATCAATTTTTGGTGTAGACTTTTCTGCCACCTTGAATTTAAGTGTATACTTGGCTGAAAATTGAAATGCCTCTGAATTTATTGTAAGATGATCCAAGCTTTGAAAGAAAAGAAAGGCTAAGTAAATATATAAAAAACCAAGATATGGCACTAAAAACCTCAATTTTCCTTCTCTCAGATTAGATCATCATGCAAAATTGTTCTAGCCCCTTCTCCCCAACAGACCACATATGGATTTGGTTTGGGATGGTTTCTTTGCAGATAATTTCAATAATGACAGCAAAAAACTGGTTCCACACGCTGGACCAAATTTGACAGCAATGTGTGTGAACCACCTCAACCTGCCTTAGAAGGAAAGCTGCCTTCTCTTCAAATGTCATTCCATCGTGTTCTTGGTATTGCTGTTATTCTTTGAAAACAATAGGTTAAAAAAAAAACAATTTTTTTGCTGCTAGTTAAAAATTGATGTTGAATATAAAAAGTAATTAAATGATGTTAAATTAAAATTGTTATTGAAAATGTTGTTAATAATAAAATAACTATAAAAAATGTCATAATTTCATAAGTTTGAATTATATAAGAAATATGTGATTATTACATAATAAATATAACAAATTTCTATTTTACATGAGATCAAGTATAAAACCGATAACTTAATTTTTCCTCGTCATTTTTAACATTTTTTAAAAACAAAAATGTTATCTGCTCGTTGCTATACACAAATCAAATTCAACTTGGAATATCATATATTTTAATTCAATTTAATTTAATTTATGTTACAAATAATTAAATCAATCCACCAATAGAATTGGATGGATGCACAACCTATTGCTTTTACTACATAGTTTACCCCATTTGTTATATATATATATATATATATATATATATATATATATATATTTTTTGGTTCTGTTACATGCTTTTTCCTATTCTCATACTCAATTCCTGTAATTTTATATTTTTTTTCCTAGAGGGTTTACTTTCATTTATTTAAAAATTTCTCTTTACTGCCTTCTTGATTTTATTCACTTTAGATTTATTTGGTGCTTCCAAGATTAGATAACCCTTTTTAAGAGTCCAATGTCACATTGTTATAGGTTCAATCCTTAGCATTTCAAATACATAGAGGGCAATTTGCAATAACCTTGTTAATGTGTTTTAAAGTTGTAAGAATTGTCCTATTGTCTGAAAATTTAACAGAACCCCCCAATTGTACCCAAAATGCCTTTAATTACTATTTAGGAAAAAAAATTACTTAAATTAATTTTTACAAATTAAAAAGATATTAAAAAAGCTCCAAATAAAATTGAGTAATATTAAATTTAATATTATTTTTATATTAAAAGTGCAGTTCTTAACTATGACTCGTTAGAGAGGACGAATCATCTATCAGTGGATTTGGCAGCTATACGATCGCTGGGTCAAGAGTATCTTCCATCATCCTATCCTCTCCTCAGTCACGTCAGCTTGAGTCTGATCTGTTTAGAAACTCAATCTTAAAAAACCTTGATTTTTTATTAGGGACCTAATAAAATTAAATCGTGATGTCTGATCTGTTTGAGTCTTGATGTAAGACCAAAAAAATTAGGTCTTGATACATCATCCATTTGAATAATAAAAGTATAAATTATTATTATTATTATTATTATTAAATTTAAAATAAAATATTATTATTATAAAAAAAATCATATAGTTAATTTAAAAGATAAAATTAGAATTAAGAAATATTATTATTATTATTATTATTATTATTTTTATTTGTGCTATAAATATTATTATTTTTATTATAATTGAAGGTATTAATATTAAAAATAGTATGATTTGTATTATAAATATTAATATTTCTATTATAGTTCAAAATATTAATATAAAAAGTATTATTATGTGTGGTACAAAGATTAATTTTTATTATCATTGAAAGTATTAAATTAAAAAAATATTATTTGTGTTCTAAATATTATTATTTTTATTATAATTCAAAGAATTAATATCAAAAATACTATTATTTGGGGTATAAATATTTTTATTTTTATTATAATTGTACTAACAATAGTTAGAGCACAAATTATATTTTATTTAATATTAATACTTTCAACTAAAATAAAAATAATAATATTTATAAGAGAAATAATTATATTTATAAATCTAAAACCCAATAATCTTAGGTCTTGATACAAAATACAAGAGCACTGGGTCCGGACATAAAAACTAAGAAAATTGAGTCCGAACACAAGATTCATAAATTTTTGAGTCCGAACACTATATCTAAGAAAATTAGATCTCAACGCTACATCTATAAGTCTTATGTCTCACTAAGATCTACAACCATGCATCTAGGTTTGACCCGACATATAAACAGAACAATTCAAATACTAGGTATCCACATATAGCATGTGGGTTTGGCTCAACATCTAAAACTTACTAGTATAAGTGTCAGATATCCTTAGACTTGCAACCCTCTAAATTTATAATTAACTATTTTCTTACAAACCATCTTTTCAATATTAAATATATCATAGTGAAAAAAACAATTCCACCCCTCCTTTAAGTGACAATAACAGCTCTTCATTACACTATTTTAATTTATAATATTTTATATCTAGGTAAATAATAATAGAAATATAGAGTCCTTTTATTGTAGTATATTGTATAATGTACCTGAGAAAAGTTTTCATGTAATCGTATGATTTTAAATTTTGAATCAAATAATTAACCATACGTGCTTTCCCCTTATATATAGAGAGTATAGAATGGTATGGGAATTTTAAGACCGAATTAATTTTTTCAAGGACAAAATCAATACTGCAATTGATACGTTAAACTTTTTCATCAGATGAATTAGGAAATGCTGTCTTTCAGTCCACGAACAAAACATGCACCTCTTTGATTCAACAAAGCTTGGTCTCTTTTCCAGTCTTTCAAACTCATCCACTTTAATGTATTCAGGTGCTAGTTTTCTCCTTAATCCCATTTTCCTGCGTGGGTTTTCTGGTTCATTGCACCTAGTTTTGTTACTTGCCTTAGTCGTCTCATATATGTGGAAGAAACTCATGAGGGGTGATGGTGGTGAGGGTTCTGGAGAGAGGTTTAGGAACAACAGGAGGTTTCTGTGTTCTAAGCAGACTCTTTTATGTTGTTTAGGTGTTTCAGTGTTTAATCTTTTCTTGTGTTTGCTGAGCTACTTTTATTGGTATAAAAATGGATGGTCTGATGTTAAACTAGTGAACCTTTTTGATTCAGTGCTTAAAACACTCTCTTGGGGTGCACTTTCTGTCTATTTGTATACCCTTGATTCAGGTGAGAAAAGGTTCTCATTTTTATTGAGAGTTTGGTGGGTTTTTTATTTCTCAATTTCTTGTTATTGTCTCGTTGTAGATTTTCTTTTTTATCACAAACATGAGTCCTCAGAGGTACGGTATTTATTATCTGATATAGTCTCTGTGTTCAGTGCTTTGTTTCTTTTTTATGTTGGGTTCTTGAGACATGAGACTCAGGATAGCCTTCTCGAGCAACCCTTTTTGAATGTTGATATTTCTAGCGACACAAGTAATAATCCTACTTTGGAGTCAAATAAGTCAAGGGGGGGTGATGCTGTGACGCCTTATGCAAATGCTGGTCCTTTCAGTATTCTTACCTTCTACTGGATGAATTCTCTAATTGCTTTTGGCAATAAGAAGACCTTGGACCTTGAGGATGTTCCTCAACTAGACAGTCTTGATAGCGTGTTTAGAGGATTCCCAGCTTTTAGAAATAAGCTGGAGTCACATAATGGCGCTGCTAGTAGAGTTACCCCTTTCAAGCTCGCCAAGGCATTGTTCTTGTCAGCTTGGAAGGAAATTCTATGGACAGCTTTGTTGGCAATAATATACACCTCAGCTTCCTATGTTGGTCCATACCTTATCGACGCTTTTGTTCAATGCCTTGATGGACAAGGAGAATACAAAAATCAGGGATATATTTTAGCTTCAACCTTTTTCGTTGCGAAGCTTGTAGAGTGCATCTCACAGAGGCACTGGTTCTTTAGGTTGCAACAAATAGGATTAAGGCACCGTGCAGTAACAACCACAATGATTTACAACAAAGGTTTGACCCTCTCCAATCAGTCAAAGCACTGCCAAACTAGTGGTGAAATCATCAATATCATGACTGTTGATGCAGACAGAATTGGTGAGTTTTGTTGGTACATGCACGATCCATGGTTGATCCTATTGCAAGTTGGTTTGGCCTTATTGATTCTATACCAAAATTTGGGGCTTGCATCAGTTGCTGCTTTTGTTACAACAATAGTTGTCATGTTGATAAACTATCCTCTGGTTAGATTACAAGAAACGTTTCAAGACAAGTTAATGGACTCAAAAGACAAAAGAATGAGGGCAACCACAGAGATTTTAAGGAATATGAGAATTCTTAAGCTTCAGGGGTGGGAAATCAAGTTTCTGTCTAAGATTCTTGAACTCAGAGACGTAGAGACAGGATGGTTGAAGAAATATGTTTATAATTCGGCAATGATCATGTCTGTCTTCTGGCTAGCTCCGACTCTTGTGGCTGTGGCCACTTTTGGTGCTTGTATGCTTATAGGCATCCAACTTGAATCAGGGAAAATCTTATCTGCACTTGCAACTTTCAGGGTCCTTCAAATGCCAATCTATAGTCTTCCTGATACACTTTCTATGATAGTTCAGACCAAGGTTTCTCTTGACCGAATTGCCTCTTTCCTTTGTCTTGATGACTTGCAGCCTGATGTTTTGGAGAAGCAACCAATTGGAAGCTCTGATACAGCAATTGAGATTGCTGATGGAAATTTCTCCTGGGATTTGTCTTCACCTAGTGCAGCATTAAAGGATATTAACGTCAGAGTGCTCCATGGCATGAGAGTTGCTGTTTGCGGAACAGTTGGTTCAGGCAAGTCAAGCTTACTTTCCTGCGTTTTGGGGGAACTGCACAAGATCTCAGGGACTCTCAAGTTATGTGGGACGAAGGCCTATGTTGCCCAGTCTGCCTGGATATCGACTGGCAAGATTGAAGAGAACATATTGTTTGGTAAGGAGATGGACAGAGAAAGATATGACAGGATACTGGAGGCATGTTCCCTGAAGAAGGACCTTGAAATTATGTCATTTGGTGATCAAACAGTTATTGGTGAGAGGGGAATCAACTTAAGCGGTGGACAAAAGCAGAGAATTCAGATAGCACGGGCTCTGTACCAAGACGCCGATATCTATCTATTTGATGACCCTTTCAGTGCTGTGGATGCTCATACAGGATCTCATTTATTTAAGGTGAAACATGTCATCTTTATAGATAACATTTATACGATGACCTTCACTATCGATTCCTGCGGAAAAGATCACTAATCGAACCACCCTTTATTTAATTTTGCAGTTTTCTTCATGCCTAGTTTTAACAAATGCATTTCTCATAAACTATATTTGTTTAATTTTGGATGACAGGAAGTTTTACTTGGTCTTTTGAGTTCAAAAACAGTTATTTATGTTACTCATCAAGTTGAATTCTTACCTGCGGCTGATCTTCTCTTGGTGAGCAATACGCATTTGTTTTCTTCATTGCATGTCGGTTTATCATCTCATCTAGTGCATTATTTGATTCAACTTGTACCTTCTCGTTAGGTAATGAAAGATGGAAATATTACACAAGCGGGTAAATATGATGACATTCTCTGTTTAGGATCTGACTTTATGGAACTAGTAGGTGCCCGCGAGGCAGCCTTAACAGTGCTTGATTCCAAGCAGAAAGGACCGGCATCAGATACTGATGGTATTATGCAGAAACAAGGAAAAAACGATTATGAAAATGGTAAATCAGATAAGGTAGCTGAGCCAAAAGCACAGATCATTCAAGAAGAAGAAAGAGAGACAGGTAGTGTTGAAAATGGTAAATCAGATAAGGTAGCCGAGCCAAAAGCACAGATCATTCAAGAAGAAGAAAGAGAGACAGGTAGTGTTGGATTTCCTATTTACTGGAACTATATCACAACAGCATATGGAGGAGGTCTTGTGCCCTTTATATTATTGGCACAGATTCTCTTTCAGGTCCTTCAAATTAGTAGCAACTACTGGATGGCATGGGCAGCTCCTGTGTCAAAGGATGTTAAACCTGTTGTCAGTGGATCTACATTAATAATCGTCTATGTCTTGTTCGCTATTGGAAGTTCGCTTTGCATTTTAGCTAGAGCCACGCTTCATGCAACAGCAGGGTACAAAACTGCAACTCTACTCTTCAATAAAATGCCTCTGTGCATATTTCGTGCTCCCATGTCCTTTTTCGATGCTACCCCTAGTGGACGAATTATAAATAGAGTAAGCAATTTCTGTAGGTCTGATGCTCTAAAATCCAATCTCTTCAAAAATAAGATACCAATTCCATTAGTTTCACTTTATTGATGTCTTTCCTCTCATATAGGTTTCTACGGATCAAAGTGCAGTTGAAACTCGAATTCCATATCTAATTGGGGCACTTGCCTTCTCAGTTATCCAGCTTCTAGGAATCATTGCAGTGATGTCACAGGTAGCATGGCAAGTTTTTATCGTTTTCATCCCTGTGATTGCTGCCTGCATCTGGTATCAGGTAATCCTCGTGATTATCAGAGTTGGTTTGGAATGACTTGAAAATGAAATTTGATATTGAGTTGTAGTTCAGAAGTTTTTTTTCATAGATAAGTTATGATAAAAATGAGTGAAGTCAGAAGATAGGAAATGACTTTAAAGTAATTCTTAGCAATTAGATGTAACCCCCGTTTTATTAATTATGACTACGAGGAGATATAATGCATTTCCATAATGCACGCAGAGATATTACATATCTTCTGCAAGAGAGCTTTCACGTTTGGTTGGAGTATGCAAAGCTCCAGTTATACAACATTTTTCTGAAACAATTTCGGGAGCAACAACTATCAGGAGCTTCGATCAGCAATCAAGATTCCAAGAAACAAATATGGAAGTTACAGATGCGTATTCTCGGCCCAAATTTCACATTGCTGGTGCAAGGGAGTGGCTTTGCTTCCGCCTGGATATGTTCTCTTCTGTTACTTTCGCTTTCTCTTTGGCTTTCTTAGTCTCCTTCCGAAGCAATATTGATCCAGGTTTGTAGTTCATGTCTGATATCTACTCTCTATTTTCTTGAACATTAACATGTAGGTGCTAAGCCAAAAACACACCCTTTTCCTTTTGTTTTCCCATTTCTAAAGCCATTGCAGGCTTGGCTGTGACATATGGACTCAACCTAAACATGTTACAAGCTTCAGTGATATGGAATTTATGTGATTGTGAGAACAAAATCATATCTGTAGAGAGAATTATTCAATACATTTCTATTCCCAGTGAGCCGTCTCTTGTAGTAGAAGCAAACAGGCCAGGCCGTTCTTGGCCATCCCATGGTGAAGTTGATATCAACAACCTGCAGGTAACTTTAGTTTCTTCCATTGATTGCGCCAATTCATAGCTATTTGTGTTATTATTAAATACTGTATGACAGGTCCGTTATGCTCCACAACTGCCACTTGTGCTCCGCGGTATCACATGCACCTTCGCAGGGGGGAAGAAAACAGGTATTGTAGGGAGAACAGGCAGTGGTAAATCAACTCTCATACAGACTCTTTTCTGTATTGTCAAACCTGCTGCTGGTCAGATTATGATTGATAGACTTGATATCTCATCGATTGGACTGCATGATTTGAGGTCAAGACTAGGCATTATTCCTCAGGATCCAACCATGTTTGAAGGGACTATACGAAGTAATCTGGACCCACTTGAAGAGCACACTGATGAACAGATCTGGGAGGTGTGTTGTTTCTATCATGTTTTCCCATAAGAGAAGAGGGGTGCGTGTGTGTAGAATATATAGTAATATACAAGTGTGAGTATGAGTTTGTGTGTTTCCTTTGAATTGATTTGCAATGTTTCTAGGATTGGTCATTGATGGATGACACACATGCTAACTTGAGTTCTTTTATGGTTGTAGGCTCTTGACAAGTGCCAACTTGGAGACGAAGTTAGGAAGAAAGAAAGAAAGCTAGACTCCACAGGTTTTTCTTTCTTGCCAGCCACCACTATACAATTTGCATGCATAGCTTCTTGAACTGATAATGACATGGAATTTACATACATGGCAAATGATCATCCGATGTTGTAGTTAACGAGAACGGAGAGAACTGGAGTATGGGTCAGAGGCAGCTAGTTTGCCTTTGGCGTGTGCTACTCAAGAAAAGTAAGGTGTTAGTCCTTGATGAAGCTACTGCTTCGGTTGACACATCCACCGATAATCTTATCCAGCAAACCCTCAGGCAACACTTCTCTGATAGTACTATTGCACATCGGATAACTTCTGTTCTTGACAGTGACATGGTTTTGCTTCTGAGTCACGGTACGTATTGAAACGTTAGAGATGTAACAATCCCTAGAAATTACGTTGATGCTCAATTTTTTTTATTATCTGCAATTATGCATGTTGCAGGGCTCGTTATGGAATATGATTCTCCAACAAGATTGTTAGAAAACAAGTCATCATCTTTTGCACAACTTGTCGCAGAGTACATAATCAGGTCAAATGCCACTTGATTATGTTAGCTCCAATATGTTCATAAATAGAGTTTTTTTAAGTTTTTGGACAGTGAATAATCATACGATAATATTCTCTCTTTTTGAATTGCTGGGATTGATGGTTTGTGGTAAAAATATCAGTTTGTGCAAAACAATTTTTTTATGGGGTTTACAACCCCATAATTAAATTAATGACTTTTTAATAAAAAATTATAATAAATAAAAAATTAAAAATTAAATTCTAGGAATAAAAATATATGATAAGATAATAGAAAAATTAAACCATATACCTAGATTGTTTAAAAAATATTTATATTCTTTAAACCTTTTTATTTTAATAAAAAGGTGAAGGAAAACTTTGATAAGAAGAAATATCTTTTACACGATATTAATATTAATGAAAATAATTATTATATCAATATTAATGTTAATTGGAACATGACAAGATCTTAAAAGACTTTTATGCATTCACGAGTATATAGAAAATATTATTTTAAATTCTTAGAATCATAAAAATAGCCTTGTATAGAGTGAAAAAAATATCAATTTCATATCTATTTAGTTCTAAAATGATTTCAAATTCTAGGATATTGAGTTAGGTATTTTATCAGGCCTACATGTACTTAGGCCCAACGCATAACTAAACTCAGGAGTATTTATTCTAATATCTTGTCAAAATCATATATATTTGGGCTTAACACATAATTAAACCTAAGAGGTCTGACAACCACATGCATTTGAGCTTAGTGTATAGCTGAACCTAAAGGGGTTAAATCTGGTATTTTTCTATATCCATGTGCACTTGGATTCAACACATAATTGAATCAAAGAGTATTGGATCTGATATCTTCACAAACCCATATGTACTTAAATTCAATGCACAGTTGAATCCAAGGAATTATGTCTGGTATCTCACTAAACCTATATGAATTTGGGCTCCCCGTATAGCTAAATCTAAAGGTATTGGATCTGATATCTTATCAGATCGACATGTACATGAACTCAATGCATAACTAGAGTCAAGAAGTTGGGTATGATAGTTTATCAAATCTATATATACTTGAACTCAATACATAACTAGATCCAAGAAGTTAAGTCTAGCATTTTATCAGATCCAAGTACATTTGGGTTCAACGTGTCACCGAACCTTAAAGGTGTTGAGTTTGATATCTTATCAGACACATTTATTTTTTTATGTTCATTTATTTTTTCTTGAATATTTCATGAGTAAAAAAACATATTTTCATTTATATACATTATATAGTTGAATTATTGATTAAAATTTTTACTCTCATAGATTTATTTCCTTTCAAGTTATGTTATATGGTTTTATGTCTTGGGATTTATTTTTATTTGCATGTTTTTGAATATTTGATGTGTAATAGAATATTTTAATGTTAAATTAAATTTTGACTTTATAAAATAGATTTTTGGTTGTTATTAAAGGGAGATAAATTAAAATGACTTTACTTGAAAAAAAAAAAAAGATAAGAGGAAAAGTATTCCATGGCCATGTTTTGACCCAAAACAATGGTGAATTTAGAGTGAATTGGTTCGTTTTAAAGATAAAAATTTAATAAAGGTAGTTTTTCTCTTAAATAGGCTAGAAAAAAAATAGATTTGGCCATATAAAATTTGTTTTAATTCGATTTGATTTTAAGTATTTGAACTCATTTGAGGATGTTTTAAGGTTGAATATAACTTTATTGAGGTTTCTAGGAATGTTTTTGAAGTTTTTTACTTATGAAAAACAAGTTGAAAAATATACTTTTTCAGGTAAAGAATTTCAAACAAAATTTTTCATCACTAAGAGGTGTTTAAAAAATTCTACAAAAGATAAAGCATCATGTAATACAATAAACAATATATTGTTTACTAAAAAGAAATGCTAGAAAAGATAATATATCATACACTTTATTTAAAAAAAAAACGAAACAAAATCAAGGGCATGGGCTTGGCTTGCTTAGCATCTATGCTTCTTTTTTTTAATTTTTAAATTTAATTTTACTTAATACCTTATTTTTTAAAATTATTTAGTTTAGTTTTTTCAATAATAATTATTTTTTAAATTGTTTTTATAATTTTATAATACTTTAAAAAGGTTATTGAAATTTATTTTTAAAATTTATTTCTCTTAAATTTTAGTTAGATAAATTATATTTGAAAGATATATTTATAAAAATAAAAATAATATGTATTTAGCTACAATTATTATTCACCACTAGGATGAATAAAATAACAATTATAAGATAAAAAAGATACTGAAGTTTCACTTTGGTATTTAGTTAATATTAATAATTATTATTTTAATTTTTTAGTTATTATATTTTTCAATTTATTTTAATGTGCATACACATCATCTTTTTAATTTTTTTATTAAAAGAATTATAATATTAAAAAACACATTCATAATGTTGACATTTTCTTCAATAATATTAAAAATTAAATTAAAATCCTTCATGTAATGTAGTGTGAATGCACTCCTTTACTACAATCAAGAGCTATTTCAAATTGTCACGCATTGGTTCTAAATGAATAGTACTTTTACAATAAATCAATTCTATTCTTGCGTGAGAGAATATCGATGGCCATTCATGCTACAGGGAGAATTGTGGAAAGTGTTTTTAAGTTTTTTCATAAATTTTTAAATAGTTAGAATCCTTTAGTATTTTTTTTCAAATGTTTATGGTTTTGAAAACTATACATATTAGATTGGAAAACTTATAATTATCAAAACTCCTAATTTATCTACAATATGTTATTTTTAATTTATTTAAATTTTCACACATAAATTAGAATTTCATGGTTGGATTGTTGGGCTTGTTTGGTCTTGAAAAAATTAGTCATTTCAAAAAAATAAAACTCTTTAATGTTCAAGTTAATATGTATGTAAAGAAGAAAATACACATAAAAAGAAAAAAATAAAATAAAAGTTAGGGTGTGTGTATATGGCATGAATTTCAATGGTTTTGCATGGTCTTTAGGTGCCTTTAGGTATCACTTTTATGGTCTTGGGCTAGTATTTATAGTTTTTGGCCAGGTTTTCTTACTTTCTTATTTTATTTATGATGACATTTTAATTGACTTTAATTACCCCTGAGTAACAAAATGTATTTATACACTCAAGTCTGAGAATTTTTTTCACGGAGAAGAGATTGTATTATTGGTTAAAAAACTGATTCGGCTAACAATGGTGGCTCTTGGTTGGTGTACAATGTCTTAGTTGTTATGCAAAGAAATTATTTAAGATGAAAACAAATAAAAAGTTGGCTTAGAGGTACGAAAACATTGTTTTTAAAGTGAGAAGAAAAGACAAAAGAATATAAGATATTAAAACAATTCTTAGATATGATGGTTATAATTGAAAAAGTTAAATGAGCTTCGAAAGATAAAAACATTCAAGATGCCTGCTAATAATTGTTGAAGAGAAGGCGACTAAAATGAATCAGCGAGTCAATATAATTCATGAATATGGTGCACAATCTTGGCCACATCATAAAAAAATTTCTCATTATCAAACATCTTTAACAATTCCATAAAATATTATATCCTACCCTAAAAGTCAAACATCATCACCATCCTTATTTTAGCTTGAACAACGTATTTTTCAAAGCATACAAGATTCAAATTGTAAAAGAAAATATCATGAACAATCATTTTTTTTTAATTTCTCTCATTCATATTTACCAATATCTTATAAATGTGTGTTTGATAGTACATTAACTCTTTGAACCCATCCAACCATATTTTTTTAAATGATACAATAAAAATACTAAATGTGAATATCATATACAAGTTATAGGTCATTTCATTGATTATTGTCAAGGGTTTAAAAAGTTTGTTAAAAATATGATTCAGAATGGATGGATATCATTTTAAAAGAGAGTAGTAAATATAACATACTCACAAGAGGTTTTGGGACCATTGAATAGGATAACTCAGGCTTGATGTAATCTTGGTGATGAATGGATTTAGCAGTTAATTCCTTGACACGACCAAAAAATTGATGTCTTCTTCCAAGTACAGAAGTGTCGAAGTAATAAATAACTCGGCAAGACCGAGGTCGAACTACAAGGAGGTTAATTGTATAAATTCTAAACAACAATAATACAATAATAACAATAATAATAGTAATAATAATAGTAATAATAATAATATTAATAATAATAATAATAATAATAATAATAGTAATAATAATAGTAATAGTAATAGAAGAAGAAGTAGTTGATGAGAACTTTGAGATGGAAGATCAATGTAAGGATTAAACAATGCTAACAACAAATGTCAAGGTTAGAGGATCCACTAATGGTATTTCAAACAAGAATAGTATAAACTCTTATTATCCAACTACAAACCACACACAAAGAAGGTTCAAATTGGATTATGAATTGTTAACATGATTATATTAGTTATCTTATTCAAATAATGCTAATACTTGTAAATGTTGTCAGGTATTCATGATTATAACTTATGTTAACAACAAATCAAGTT